CCATTGCACGTCCTCAATCTTGCATTTTTAGGTTAGATTTCAGTAAAAAAATTTAACTTCTGACCGATCTGCTATCATGTAAAATGACAGAAGCGCAAATTAATCAACGTTTTATTTCACCTATTTTTTTATGACAGAAAGAAAAAACTATCTGAAGAATAATCGTTGTACGAAAACAAGGATCAACGATTCTCGACTACTATGAACACGATATGTTCGAAATATTGTACAATGAGCGAACAATACGAAATATTACATTTGGAACAATTAATGATGCCAAAAATTGACAAAAATATGTTTAGAAATATCTACGCGCGTCTTATCTAAACACAAAAAAATCACCCAATCGATTGGACGTAAAAAATAATAATTTAACGTTGCTCGAAGATAAAGTGCATCTACCAATATTTAAATAATTTTTATTGAATATCATAGATAATATGAATTAGCAAAGATCATACCCACAGCTTTGTCTCCTTTCAAACAAAGAACAATGTTCATAAACACTGATTATATATACCTGCACGTTTTTTTCTGTGGTCTTCATTCTCTTTCTCTTCCATTCATATAACACATATACTCTATTTCTCTCGTTCTTCTTTTTTAATTTCATATTTCAATTTTATTCTTGAATTCATTCTTTCTTCTCTCATTCTCGTTTTCAACATTCACTCATTCTCGCAACATCGGCGACAGAATCGTCTAATTAACACTTTATGTGGTACTTAGAGAGCTCGCGCATTTGTGCACCTACATACACAATCACACGTATATTTGTATCACGCACGTTATACATATCCATATGTATATGTGCATATGAACCACAGCTGCATCTGCATCTCACACGCGTCTGCACCTAGAAGTTACATTTATTATTACATGATTGTACCTAACAAGCATGAACTTTCCATGATCGAATTGTCTCCCGAGCTTACGATTATAAATATATATATATATGTATATATGTATATGTATATCTTGGAAACCAAGGGGTCCTCTACGTTCGTTAAGCTGCGCTTAAATAAACTAGTACGTACAATTATTTCTTCGTCGTAACTGTAAATTTGTACCCGCAAGAACGAAGTTTTCATCGACGTACAGTCATCGTCGCGTCAAGAACCACAAGAAGTACATCTTCGTGCATCACAGACGCCTCGGCAGATGTCTCACCAATCAATCGTCAACGAATCATTGTTGACTATGTAAATAATTTCGAATATTTGGCGCGAAACCTGCGTAAAGTGTTCACCTTTTAGGTCTTCTTTTATAAAGTAATTAAAACAAACTTTCTCGCAGGTAACACGCTTATTTTGCGTATCATTGAAGTATAAAATACTTCTAAAATTTGAACTTTCTAGCTGACATAAAACCTGAGATTGGTGTCGAAGATTATAATGAAATTTGGACGTATTATTTTAGAATATTTTAATATATTTTTTTATTACTGTATAGGATGTTTCAAAAAATAAATTATTTTTAAATATTAGTTCGTTTTAATTAATTTATCTATTGGATTGCAAAAAGTTTTATGTTCAAAATTTATATCATTAGATTGTTGATTATATCAATTCCTTTCCATATGATTTTTTTTATATTGATATTAAAATCAAATAAATATAATCAAATATTGTATTAAATTGATTGCTGCGATTTTTGTATTATGAATAATATGGATAAAATATAATTTTATAATTATATAATAATATTAAAGATTAAATTAAATAGTTTAAATTAAATTTTATTATAAAAAATGCAATGTATTTTCATTAAATGGAAATTGTAATTCTTTATACAAATTTGTAGATTGAATTGATATTATAAAACAAGAAAAAATGCTTAATAAATGCATTTTAGAATGTATAAAAAAATTCCAATTAAATTATATTTAACTAAATTAAATACAAGATAACAAGATATGTTATTATATCATGAAGACAAAAATGTTACGTAAGTTCAATAAAAGATACATGCGACATATGATGAAATGCAATAAATGATCACATGTTTTATCATCATCAATTTTCTTCTATAAAAAAGATTTTTTTTCATGATAAGAATTATTTATAAAATTTATTAAATATGACTTCCTAGATCAAATGTTATGGATAATGATCAAGTAAAAGCTTTCATTGAAAATAATATCTATATTAAATACTAATAAATTTATATAATACTAATAAAATCGAATATAAAAATATTTTCAAAAACGAATTTAAAAAAAAAAATAAAAAGACTTTTCAGCCAACTTCATAAATAATCCTAAATGTTTTCACAAACATCCTTTAATCCTAAATAATTTTCAGAAACATCCTGTACAGGCGCGATAATATTGTGGTATTTAATCAAAATATCCAACCTCTGAATCCATTGAATTTCGTTAAAATCTTCGTGTAGACGAACCGAGAGATTTCTTCACTAATCTAACTGCTGAGAGAACAAACTTGGCAGTACATGAAGAGTACACCTGGTGATTCCATATTCGTTCGTTAAATGAACTACCCTTTTTAGGGGTGATTATAGTTGCCATACAGTCCTCTTATCTCGTAAAAATAATCTTAAATAAATCTTGGTAAGGCAGTGCCAGCTCGATGGTACATGTATGGTGGAGGAGGCGGGCCAGTATAATGCCTCTGATGAGGATGCGGAAGGGAGGATCTGTGGGATCCCATCGTCCCGCTCGAAGGTGAAACGTGTTGCAAGAGATGGGAAGTTCCATCCCCTAAATCCAACTCTAGCTCCTGTTCCTCTATCAGTTGCAACGCTCCAAAAGAGGCCGTCGCCATCGCAACATCCGGCATCACACCCGACAATTGTCCATCGCTACACGAATTGTTCTCTTGTTGCTGAAAAAGTAAGATGAAAGAGTGAAAATTGATTTAAATGGATTTTAAGAAAGTATTTTCATTATTATCATAATTATCATAATTAAGAATATCGATATTTTCTTTGATTACTACAATTTATGATGGCTGAATTAAAAATGATTTGTTGAAAAAATTTTTCAAAATTTTATTTAATTTTTGTTATTTCGTAATTATTTTGAATTAATAAATCAATTAGCTCATTCATCAAATCATAATTAATAAAAAATTAAATAAAATAACAACATGAATTATGAAAAAAAAATTTAAAGCTAAAAAAAAGGAATTATATGAAATATAATATAATAACAAATATTCGGATAATTTTATAATTGTAATAATGTTTGAACGCGAGAGGTAATGAATTAATTATTATTATTATTATTTCATGTTAAATTAATTAATTAATTTAACATGAAATAAAGCAAAAGAGTCACAACAAAATGTAAAATATTTGAGATGTAATTTTATATCAAAAGAGGTTACGATTTATTCTCAATTATTATATTATCTTCATTATTATATTATATATTCTCAATAATTTAATAATTAAAATTTACCTCAGCAAGGAGTCTACAACTTTCGCCTTCTGTGACTATAGCTGGAAGTTCATGTCTATGAGTGCAAGAAGAGGCTGGCCGTGGAAACGTCATGTTTCTTCCATAGCACAATGATGGAACTGTTCTAGCATTGATCCCTAAACCCGGTGAATCCATATCTTCGATATCAGTTAGCCTTTCATTTTGTTCTTTCACGTTATATGCAGCTGTATTCTGTAAAAAAATATAAAACAAATCTATTTTTAAAAAATATAGATATTTATTATCTAATTTCATTTCTATAAATCAGATACATCTAAAGTAGAGTAGAATATCTAAATTACAAAAAAATTTTTCAATGAAAATATAATAACATAACGTCTTATGAAATAATATAATTGATATTTATTAATAATTCTTATAAAAAAGTATTTATACACTATTTGATATTCAACCGATATTTAGAATATGTTTATTCATATATTTATTTATATTAATTATGTTTCGAAGAATTTGAATAATTAAATATTCATTCAAATTTACAAAATTTGTGTAAATTTCGTTCAAATTTACAAAATGCATTTAGATTGCAATAATTATTTAAATTTCGAAAAACTTAAATGCTTATTTTCGAAAAATTTAAATATTTATTTAAAATTTTAGTTATTTTTAAAAAAATTTCTATAATAGATAGGAAACTTTAGTCGAAGGTTATTTGATAAAACATTTTCTTAATAACATATATATTTAACATATATATTTAACATATATATTTATATGTTTATTTATGTTTAACGAAAATTATATATTAAAGAATTGAACATTTTGTAGGAATATATGTAAGGAATATATGTATATCATTACTATATAAGCATTGTTAATTATATATGTATATGTACTCATTAACTATATGTATATGTACAATATCTATCTTCAGCCATTTACCATATCAATATTATAAACATATATTTCATTTAATATATTTTAGTTTTCAAAAATATTTTTATATTTATATTTCATAAATATTAATATTAATTACAGCATTTAAAAAATATAATATTTATCTTCACTCTTGCTCAAAAGTTTTATGTTATATATTATATATTATTATATATATGTCAAAAAAAAATTCTATTTTTTAAAAAATCATAGAAAAATTAAATATATTTATTTTGCTATGTATCGAACAACATTTCATCCTTTCAGAAGAATAGAAACTATCATAAATTGTCCTTTTAACAAGGAAACAACTCATCGGGTTGAAACTCGTCCGTGTAAGTAAAAGCGCGCTTAATTTGTAAACCGTATCAGTAAGGTTTAAACCAAACTTTCTAACTAAAACCTTGAACCTACGAAAGCTCACACCAGTAACATTCATTAACCATCAGAAATCCAGAGGTATTTAAACAAGATCCCATGAGTTAATCGTCTCTAAAGTCTGACGTCAAGCAATATGAGTGCGAAATTAGATTATAGAATCGCAAATGTTGAATCTCTCTTATTGGTCTCTCATCGTGTAATCTACACTTCCTCTAACCTATATTACATATTCGGTTCTAATCCTTATCGAAGAGATGGGAATATCATAAATAAGCGTTGAAAAGAGGGAGAAAATAGGGGTCAAAGTCAAACGGTAACGAAGCTTGGCTCAGTTGTCGCGATTCCACTGTGCCAGCCGGCTGCATTCAATCGCTTCTGTAATTTCTTCTAACACTGCAACGATTATTTTTGGATGATACTTCATTAAAGGTTGGTATCTCAATAACTGCCATCTTAAACTTGTCATGTATCACTACATTCAGTCTCTTAGAAGTTTTTTAACTAAAAATTGTTTCATTTCGAGAAATAAAAATATTGCTTGAAGTTTTTTTTTATAATTAATGAATATTTATAAGTTTTCAATATTGAAGAGTTGATTAAATCAATAATTAATTATTAAATTGTTAATAATTAATTAAAATCTTATATAGATTAGCAAGAAAATATTAATGTCCCTATGATTATCAAATATTATTTCGTTGTTATTAATTATTATCGTTCAATAATTGTCAGATCTATTAATTATTGACAATTCTACGATTGCAATATTTATAGATTAAATAGCAAAATTAAAAATTTCAATCGTTAATTTAATCATAAAATTTTTATGTATTATTTCTTATATGTTATGTAGTATTGAATGAAATAAACAAAGTGACAGTTATTGAGACATATACTTTAATTTTTATTTTATATATTATTTTAATAATTTTAATGTTTAAATAAATAACAATAATTGTTGTTTCGCTCAATATCTAGATTAGGTAAATTTGAGAATTTGAATCAAGTTTCAAGTTAAAGCTTGGAATAATTTAATTTTATATTTTCTTTTTTCTGTTTAAAATATTTTTTCTCTTTCATGTTTTGTGTGATTCTTATGAAATTATGCAATATTGTATTCAGAATTAAAAAAAAAAAAAATCTTGTATGTAAAATTTTAATTTAAAATTTAAATTTGTTTCAATTGTTTTTTATTTTTTGTTTTTAAAACTTTAAAAAAGCCTATTTATATTTATAGGATTTAGTATGAGAGTTTTAGAATTTTTTATCGATCATAATTGCATAGATCCTCGCATAATCAATGCAATTCGATCACTGCATGATTGTATAAATGGTTAACCGCGATTGCATAATCATAAAATTGAATAGTTGCAAAATAATCAATTAGAAAATTATGTTTAAAAAAATTTCCATATTTTCGTTTGGTAATACAATAATATTTTATTTCAATGATATTGAATATCTCAATAAGTTTACTTATTAATAATCATACTTTAAATATATAGAATATTTATTGTTTAAAAATTCTTAAAAATTTTCTAATAATGAAAATCAATATTAATTTTATTAAAAATATTCGAATATTCTTAACTTCCTATCATATTTTTAATATTAATAACGTTATTTTTATGATTTATTTCTATACCTAAATGTATGTAATAACTAATACAAAGCTATACTTTAATTTAGTTAATTATTTGATTATTGAAAATATTAAATATTTATTCCATATTAAAAATTTTTAAAACATTTTTTCAATCAAAAGTTAGAAACGATTTTGATCGCCATTATACTCTCCCCTGTCACTTTATCTTAATATATTTAAATAGTAAAATAGCCTCGCTTTATTAAATTGGTTTAGTATTATATATTAATATTATATATACATATATTTTTAATTCTCTAATATTTTTCGAGATGTCTAACAAGAGTTAAGCTAGTTATAAAGTTCACTTCGTTAGAACGTAATCGAAATTAAGAAATTGACCTCAAAAAACCTGAGAAGGAATCTAATTAAAAAGTATAATGTCTTTGCCTCGTTTACATGTGAAAAAAAGTCAAAAATCTCAAATAAATAATATAATGGAAACAAATAAATAATATAATGTTTATGCTTCTTTAAATTAAAGCTTAAAAGCTATCCTGAAAAAAGCTAAAAAAACTATCCTTAAATGTTAAGGAAAAATTTTTTAGAGACGAACAACATAATCATGTTCAATATTCTCGAAGTTAAAATTTCATTCTCTCGACATCCAATGAATATGAAGAAAATTATATTAAGCTTACAATAAATAGAACATTGAGAGATTATAAATAATAAAAAAGAAAATAAATTATATATTATATATATTATATGGCAAAAAGTATCATTATTCTATGATACTCGATACTTTCTCCTTCCGTCAAATATCTTTCAAATATCTTACAATTAGAAAACTGCGACGGAGAGGAAATGACTCAATGAGTCATTTCTTATACTTACATTGAATATTACATTAATTTTGAAATAGATGCAAGAAAACGAAACAGTTTCTTACTATTTTTTTGTTATATTTCAAAAGAGAAAAAATTATGAATATTACTTTCTATTTTATACTTAAAATCTTCAATTTATGTGATATATTTAATTATATCTGTACTCAAAATCTTTGACATCATTCAATTTTTATTTTGTCATAAATAATTTTGTCATAATAAAATTTTAGCCTTTAAATTTGAATCAATAATAGATATATTAAATAATGATGATTCAATTGTATATAAATTGAATTCTATTACTTCCTTAATACTTACGAAATATAGATGTATATTACTTTCAAAATAAATTTTTGTGAAAAATTATACGAATAAATATAATTATTATAATAATTATTTCTTTCTGTATTCTAAAATGAATTCTATTTTTTATCTTGAAGCAATGAAAATAATAGATTTTCCTCTACATAATCCAAATGAAAATTGATATCATTTATGTAAATATTTTAAATGATTTTAAATAAATCTATCTAATCAATTTAAAAAAAAAATCGTATCTTTTCTGTGTAATTTCAAATCGTTTATATGAATACATTTTCAAGATATTTTTTCAATATAAAAAAAATTCATTTCTATGAATGATTCAAAAAGAAATAATTATATTTCTAAATGCAAATCAAATATTTTTTTTTGCATTTCTTTTTTTTTCACAAATTTAACATATTTAAACAAATTATGTCATTAGAATTTCCGACGCATGTGCAACAGTTATTCTATTACGTTAGATTTCTTGATGAGTTGCGCAAACTATAAATAGAGTATATACTCTTAGTAAGCTTAGGTCTCAACTACTATCTAAACGACAAACGTTAGTAGTCTTTTTTTCTATATAAAATAATTTCTTAATAATTATTTGATGTTATTGCCAAATTATAAGTAAAATAATTAAAAATAATAATAATTGATAATAATAAAAATTAATAATAATTAAAAAGCAACAAATAAAGTCAAAATTATAAATCAATAATTATCATTAAATCTTATATATATCTTATATGTAACCTATAAAATTAAAAAACAATTACTTATTCGACAGAATCATTTCACGAGTAACTGTACAATTATTATTGTAAAAGCACAAAATTGAAACATTTAAAAAAACTTTTTTTTGATATTGATTCAATTTTAATATTCAACACATTAAAATCTATAAAAATTCCTATTTTAAATAAAATTCATATTAGATAGTTTTTTTTATTATTTTAGTATTATTTCATAGTCACTATTATTTCATAATCAAAATAAATTTTCTTTATTGATAAAAAATAAAAGATCATGATTCTATAATTATAAATAATTTTACTAATATGGAAGATTTTTATAAATAATCTTGGTTGATTACTATTGATGATAATTGTAAGATGTATTATAGAAAATTTTAGTAACATAATTCTATTTTAACGATATCGCCATTAGAATAATAATATTAAATTATAATAAAACGATAAGATAATTTTTATTTAGAAAACAGTAATATCAAATATTCCAACTCATTTTAATGTTACATTATAAATATAATATTATTTATTTCAAATCAATGTTTAGCAATGATAATTGTGAAAATCTTCTTATAATTTTTGAAATATATAATATATAATAATTATTGAAATTAAAACTTGTTTGTTATTCTTTATTGAATTTAATTTTATGAAGCAAGAAACATTTCGTATATAAAATCGTTACATTTAATACAAAAAAAAAAATAAATAAAAAATAAATAAAAATTAATAAAAAATCAAAATTATCGCATAATGATTTAAAAATAATAAAAAAATAAAAGAAAAAATAACAAATTTTCCTTTTCGAATAAATAATTGCAATTGAACAAGTAATAAAAAAATTAATAAATAAAAATTGAAAAGAAATTGGAATCGAATAAACTGATAAACGAAATACAATTTAAATCGATTATTCAATTTCTTCTAAACATCAAAGACCAACTAGAATCTGCCGATATAATCGATCTCTTAAACTTAATAGCACTATTTACTTAATGGCATATGATCATGTTAAGCTACAGTTACCAGTGAATGCATTTTCTAACGATTATGTTCAAAGTATTTATGGGAAGTATTCATGAAAAAAATTTTGAAAAATTCTTCAAATATCGTATTCGTCTCATAAAATATTTTTATTCGTTAAAACATTAGTGTCAAAAATAGTATCATAATAGTTTTACATCAACGAAACATTTTGTTGAATGTTTCGACCACCATAATGAAAACGTACGTGACATAAACATCGTAACATATAAGTCGGGTTTCGAATAATTTATTCAAATCATTCTACGTCGCTTTTCTGTTCACGTGCGAAAACATTGTTCGGGAAACCATTGTCACGGAAGTCATTCGAGATAAATATCACGTTATCATCATAAATAATTTGTCATTAGCTTTTTATATCTGAAAAACATCGAGTTTATCTCGTGCAATTTTCGTCTACGGAAATTGCGATGCGCTCAATTTCTCGCGTGTAGCGGAAACAGGCAGTGTGCCTCTGACAGGCAGGAAACGACCATAGAAAAACGAGGATCATCGACGAGGAGGCGTCGATATTGCTCTATTGCGTTTCAAGATTAATTTTCGGGAAAAAACACGAAAAACAGAAATATTTTATCACGATATAAGATATATTGTAATATAGATTACACGTTCCTTTCAGTATTTTAGAATTATTGTTGATAGTACTATATAAAAGATATAATAAAAGATGAAATTAAATTAGAAATTAATTAAAGAAAATTGTTAGGTTGAAAATATATTATGAAATGGAACTTTTATTATTCAAATGTTAAGTTATTTTGATTTTTATTATCATACAATGCAATCATTTTCTTCATTATTCGCAATCTAAATTAATTTATAATTATTTAAATTTATTCCAAAAGTATTATTTAATTTAATTCCTATTTAATTTCTAATAATTTTATTTTATAACGTTTCATCGATTCGTAATATGTATAATAATACATAATTTTTTTTTCAAATTACGTTTCATTTTAAAATAATTATTTTTTTTTTTTTTCGACATTTTCAAATATATTTGCTACGTTTTTTTTTCTGTTGATATTCGATAATCAATTATTATCAGTTAATGATATATTTCTTCGATCGATAAATTTTGATCAAAGCTAGAAAATAACGTTTCATATCTATAGAAACATACTAATCTCATAGAATCATAAAACAAATAATGAAAGATAAATTATAAAACAGAAGATTATAAAAAGTGCAAAAGATTAAAAGTTGATCATGTAAAATAAACTGTGCTATAAATTAAACTACTTGGTACTATCAAATCGTTTGTAAAATATAAAATGAATATTCTCTTTCTCGAACATTAGTATCTAAACTATTTTCAAACATTCAACAACTGCTTTAATCAAATATTTAATTAACAGCTTAACATATTAACGATAATATCAGATTTGTTTGCTTGTTTGAAATTATATACAAATATTGAACTTTGTAATAATAATTTCGAGTAATTGCTTCTACCGAATTTGAAATCAATTTTCATTCTTCCAGCCCCTTTAAAAAATTGTATTGAAAAAAATAACGATATTTATCGATACTTTCTTTTTTAATTTGATAATGACTCACATTTAGTTGAAAATCTACATTACTTAATTGCGAAATTGAGCGATATCTTATTTTGTAACCACAATACGTAGCCTAGAAAAGTGAACATAATGAACAACTTAAGAGATAATCGTATGCACATTAAGTTATACGATTTGTATTATTTATTTTCAATAAAATTCTCGAATATAATAGAAATAGTTATTTTTTTAATTCTATATTTTTTTCTAGTTTTCTTTTCTTTTTTTTATTTATTTATTTACCAAGTACATCAATTATTTAAAGAAATATTTTTTTATTTTAAATTTACTAAAGTTTTTTTCAAAATTTTAAATAAAAATTTAATTTCTTCAAAATTTTTTTCGATCAATTCTATCTTCAAAATTAATTTTTAGATTTATAGATTTTCTCTATAAATGTTATAATTTTTATAATTGATGTTTGAAGTAATGTATCACATAATAAATGAATTCTAATTATTTTTCTATTCTATTTTATTTTTTATCTTCTTTTCTTTATATTACATTTAAAATATATTTTAAATACATTAAAATTAAATAATTTAAATAATTTAATTTAATTAAAGCACTTAAAGAAAAAACTTCAAATAATTTATTCAATTTTTTCAATTCATTTATTTTTATATTCCTCAATAATTTCAATAAATTGCATTTTATTAGCTTAAATGAAACAAAAAACAAAATTTATTATCAAATGTATATATAAAGTGAAAATAAAAGAATGCATATATTAATATTTTATCTTAAACTGCTACTATGATAAAGATATTAAATATTTGATATTATCTATTATTGCTATAATAAAATCATATTTAATAGAGTTGAATAAATAGATAATACAGCATTCTATGATACATGTATGGTAATTCGATGATGCAAGTTTTTTTAAAATTACCTGCACGCAGATCTATGCGACATTATCTGTTTTCTATCGCATAACTTGAACTATAAAATCGATTTAGAATTAATAGCATAGAAAGACAATGAGTATATAACTATAGATATATAACTAAAGATATATTTATAAATATATTGTATCCTTGTATAAATATTGTGCAGTCTTGCTTTCCAAAAAATATTTTTTATTTATCTTTCTTATCTTCTATTTCTCACTTCACTTTTATAATATTAAATTTTTGTAATCACGAAAGTAATTATATAAAATAATTATTCAGATATATATATCTGAATAATGATAAAATGATTTAAACTTGTTATAAGTTTTTAAAAATGTTATAGGAGTATTTATACTTGGACACTTTAATTAGTAATATAATAATTGTTTACAATTATAATATGATATTTAAATATATATGATATTATTATAATATGATATTAAAACAAATCAAATTTACTAATTATATAGATTTTCACAATAGTTGTGAAAAATTTTTCATCAAAATATTAAAATAAAAATAAACAAATTATAATAAATTATAAAAAAGATAATACAAAGAACATGATTTTGCACTTAAATATTATACTTAAAATGTATGTAAAAAAATTAAAATAAAACATTAAATATTTATAATTATATAATGTATAAAAGTAATAATTTTAAAAAATAAAATAATATATATATATCATTGATAAGCATGTTATCACTCATTATATTCGAATAGTGCTTTGGTCGTTTGATAAGATATATACATATTTTTAATAGAAAATATTATTATAATTGTCAATTAGTATAAATCAAAAATATATTTATACGAATAAATTAGAAAGTATTGAAACACGAATAAGTCTTCATCAATTCATCTCTATTTATAAAATAATAATATAATAAAATAATAAGTTGTATTAAGTGAAACATTCATTATAATGAAGCTACTATTGCGCAGTTTATGAGAGCAAGATTAGCAGCAATCGCAAAAAGAATAACTAATATATTATTGCTTATAAATTATTTCATTTGTTATAATTTTGCAATTAACGTGTTCGAACAAGATAAATCGAACATCATAAAAAGCATCCTCATTGAATAGTTAATATTTTTAAGATTAAATCATCGTTTTTATATTTAATTATGAATAAAAAATTATATTCACGTCTTTTGGAATATAATAAGATAAAACTATTTCTAGATATTCATAAATAGACATAATGTTAGAGAACAAAAGAATTTATTAATTTTTTTGATACTTAAGTTAAATTAAAGAAAGTTAAATTAAGAAATCTTAACTCATAAACTACATAATTCTACGATTATACGATTCTTAATAAGCCATTTAATATATTATAAATTCAATCAATAATTTTAAATTAATAATAATCGAAAAATTATAATAACTATCGAAATTATAATATCTAAGTGTAATATAATGATAGACATCATAAACTATTATTTCAGGTAAATCATGTCACCATCGATCGAATCATTTCCAATTCAAAAATTGGATACACTTCTAGCACAAAGTTTAGGTAACAATATTCAAATAAAACATGTGGAATGGAAACTCATGAATGCTCCAGGTGAAAATTATGGAAGCGACATGCTAGCGATCAATGTCATCTTAACGCGATCCTCCAACAATACCGAAGAAACCCTGAATCTGGTAGCAAAACTTCCACCCACTTCCGCCTTTTTATTGGATTTGTTCAATAGTCCAGTATCGTTTAAAAAAGAGATTCAATTCTATAATTCTCTGGCGAAGGAGTTCATGAAACTACAAATCGAGAGTGGCATGAACGATCCGCAATTGGTACCCAAATTCTATGGAGGAAGATTGGGCTTGAAGCCAGACAAATTCGACGGACAAGCTGTCATTCTTTTGGAGAATCTAAAGTGCAATGGTTACATAACGGAAGATCGAATTTTTGGATTGGATAAGAAGCATACAGAATTCGCAGTCAAACGTTTAGCTAAAATGCACGCTCTTGTTATTGCTTTGAAATTGAAGAAACCTCAATTGTACACGAATATAACAAAGGAACTGTTAGTGGAGATTGCAAATGAAACAACAGAAAAATGCCTAAATGATATGATTCAGAAAATTCTGTTAGACTTACAGAATATGGAGGAAATTAAACCATATATGGATAGTATCAAGAAGAGTGTAGAATACTGTAAAGAGCAGACTGTGAAATCAAAGAAAGTGGAAGAACCTTGGGGTACAATGATTCACAACGACTTCTGGGTAAATAATATGATGTTCAAGCATGATGAACAGGGAGAGATTGTTGATATGAAGATTGTAGATTTTCAATTGAACGTTTATGATTACGGTGTTAAAGATCTGATCTTCTTTCTCATATCGAGCGCAAACAAAGATACTCTGGACAATGAATTGGATTATATGTTGGATTTGTATTATTCTTCTTTCATTAAAGACCTAAAGATGTTGAATATAGATATAAATAAATTCCCTAAGGAAAAGTTCAACGAAATTTTAAATCATTGTATCATTTTAAAACTCAATCAATGTCTTATGATGACCCAAGTGATTCAAGCTCCTCGAACAAATAAAAATTTAGATGCAAAAGTTACAAATTTCAATATGGAAATGAAACCTGATGAAATTTTTAAGGATCAATCTAATAATGTTATATATAAACAAAAATTATCTTATATTATAACCCTATTCCATAAAAAAGGATGGTTACTTAAATAATAACAATTTTTAATATGTTAGATAATTTGTCATAGATAGAATATTTTTATAGACACAAAGTACAAAATAATAATTTTTATAAACAGTGTTAAAATTTGTATAAATTATGTTTATATGAAAAACGTTATATAAAAAAAATATATATAGATGATTTTGATGATATTAAAGATAAAAACTTATAATTGAAAATTTCATCTAGAAAAAATACCAAATATGTTTAAGCTTTAAAAATTAAATAGTTGTTTAGAAAATAAGTTTTTTATTTAATATATATATTTTATTAAAAGCTAAATTTATTATATTTAAATGTCTGCACCGTGTTATTTTGCACATGTAATTATTTTTTTGAAATAAAGAGTCTATTTTATCATATAAATATAATGTAAATGAAATTTATTTTTTTAATCCCATATGAAAGTAAAGTATTATATAAACGTTTCAATAATTATTTTTAATTTTCACTGCTGTTCATTTTAATCTCCTAAATTGCTATTATTATATTTCTGAGAATTTTTATTATATGAAATAGATATATTGTCCAGAATTTTTTTAAAACCTTGTTTTAAACATGTTTTAAACCTTGTTTTTAACATGTTTTTAATTGATAGAAAGAAGAAATTGATAATGATATATATATAAAATATTGAAATATATTAATCGCAATTATTTATTATTTTTAATTAATCGAATTAATTATTTTAAAATAATAAATAACTAATCACAATAAGTAATTTTCACTGATTTCATAAAAACATTAATTGCAAATAATAATTAAATCATGCTTCTTAAAACTCATATCTATTGGATTAAAAAAAAAAAATCACATGTTGATATCATTATGAAATAAACAGAAAAAAAAAATAAAAACATCAAGCAGTTATTTGAAACATTTTAATTGTTTAAAGTAAAAATTTTCCTGTTTTGAATTCCTATCAGAATGTAAAGACAATAATTTATTGCTGCATATTTCAAGAAGAGATTCTAGAATTATATTAAGAAACAGAAAAAGAATACTCACCTCTAAGAGATCTGCTACCGTGTCAGGTAAGTTGAATTCTCTTACAACACGTAGTCGTACTTGTCTGTTAATTTCATGACGTGACGACAGCGGCAAACTAATAGCTCTCTGACAACTGGGGGATTGTCTCAATTTCTGTTCCCGTTTCATCATAGCTGCCAAGGTCGTGGAATCTGGAACTTAAATAGAATTCGTACCGAACAGTTTTTTAAAAAAGCGATTTGAAAAAGAAATTTTTCATATATTTTGCAAAAATACAATAAAACACAGTACAATAAAAATTGTAAAATTATCTGATAAAAAAATAATGAACAAAATACCTGGGAATGCTGCAGCGAGAACATCCACACCGGCTGTACCCATTGGTCTCGGTTTCTCATCAACCATATACAAGGCGTCGGGAATATCAGCTACGTAACGTGGCCTTCGTAATCTCACTAAATCTGCTTCTTGGACCATTTGTTCCTCAATTAAAGACTGCAAAAAAACTTAAACTAGAATATATGTCAGTGGAATATATAGCATGTATATAATTTTATATAATTTTAAATAAATTTTAAATATATAATTTTTTTGCATGTATATAATTATTGATATATAATATATATAAATTATAATTCAGTCAATTCCAATCATTCGAAATTAATTATAGATAATATTAATATAGATAAAAATTTGATAAGTTCGATAATATATTATAATACATAAATCTTCAAAATATCAATATTATTTACATATATGATATGATAATAAATCATAAATTATTTGAACAATTAGTACAGAATATTAATGTAACTAAGTTTGCACAACATAAATAAGTTTTAATTATTTAGTACATTCCATTAAAATATAAAATTAGTTTTAAAATAAATTTTTAATGATTATTTTTTTCTTTTTAATAAAAATTTCATACCTTTATTTCTTCGTAATAAGGCATGAATAAGCGTGGCCTTACAAAAAATCCATTTTTCTTCCCTCCTCTTATCCATGCATTCATTCGTAAATTTTCTCTTTCGTCTCCTATCATATGACTGGGTGGAGTTGAAACTAATCCTCTTCTAATAGCCTAAGCACAAAAAAGTTTTATTAAATGTTATATGAAAATGAATATTTATAATTGCTGAATAAACTTAACGTTTCGTACTTGAGCTAGGGCTTCGCTGTTTGGGGGTAATATGTGATCCATTCTGACAAGTGGTAAAAGTTCACTAAGTATTTCCCGCAATTCTATGTCGCTTAGATCCCTCTTCTTCAATCCTTTTCTAGTTACAGAATGTACCGTATGGCTGAGCAAATTTGGTTCCCGATCCTCCATACGACGCACTAATTCTTGTTCCCCCCACTTGAGTACCGCTTGCAGTATTTCAAGTTCGCTCGCTTGCAAAAAATGGCTTTGCAAAACATTTGCCAAATGTGCATGATCCAATTGATGAAGAATAGAAGAAGAAGCTACTGGCTGAAATTCTTCTCTTAAAAAATGCAATGCTTGTCTATGTACCCATGCTGATCCATGAGGTTGACTACCCCATCTATAAAAAAAATAATTAAATATCCATGAATAATAATAATTTTTAACAAATTTCAATTTAATTAATAAAACTTCAAATTATAAAAAAAATTTACTTTAAAACCGTTGGAAGCGATTCCAATGTAAGATATTCTAAAATAAGATCTTCACAACCCTGTGATAATATATCTAGCTCCAAAAATCGGCCGATTTGATACAATTCCATTGCTTCTTCTAAAGGGCTTGGTCGAACACGGCCAGTGTGCGTAAGAGCCTGAACCTAAGAAAAAACATATAGAAAAAAAAATAATTCATATCTATATCATAAATTAAGCTTTAAAAATTATTAAATTATATTTTAAATAAAAAATTTTAATTAAATATTTTATCTTACTTCCAAATTTTAATCACTTTAAAAAGAAATGTCAAAATATATTTATAAAATATAATATAATTACCTCTCCAAGACTACCAGCGCTGTTCCCGCAACCATTACCTCTCATAATTAAAGATAAATCAACGGTATCTAAATATACTGCATGTAACAATACTCTGGCATATCGTTTGGGTATTACACTCTCATCCAAAACTATTCTAGTGGGTATATGAAGCGCTCTTTCTGTGTGATCTTCTCCAGATCTAGTCCGTCTTTGTATTAAATTTCTGAAGAACGGGGATCTCGCAGAAAGTATCGCTTTATGACATGGCAGTTCTAACTTTGGCCGGAATCCATATTCTGAACTTCCACTATCTGGTCTCTGGTAATCACTATCCGATGTGAACACTAATGCGGCATCCGCGTAATCACCGGTATCTAGCAGGTATCTAAGATCGTGTTCCAACGGATTCGGTGTCCCAAATTCTTCGCTCAGTCGTCGCAAGAGATTCGCCTCCAACGTTGCATCGTGTGGACAAATATCACCAGTATAGAGATATCGCAACAATGCTGAGAACATTTGTACTTCGAGATTTGGTGTTCTTAGTTCCAAGCATATTCTGGCACCGTATCCTAAAATGAAATTACGAGTAAAATAAATTTTTAAAACCGATTATTACATTGATTAATAATATATAACTATATATAACTAAATATATATAAAATATATAATTAATTTTAATTCTTGATTCATAAAAAAACAACATAAAAATACAATTATATATCATTATATTCAGTTATATCATGATTGAAAAAATAAGAAGTAACAAGTGATAATATAAAATAAAATAGCGCATTAATTAATAAAATAATTATTAAGAAACATAATTTCAAAATTATATAGTGCTACAGAGGATTAAATGGATACAAAGAAGGCAAAAATCTTAATATACCCGGACATCCAGCTAGCAAATCCCTAAAGTACGGGCAACGCGCCGACAACAGGGCTCTGTGTACGGGGAAGCATGCTCCTCGGTAGACGAGATCCACATCAGAACAATGTTTATAGTCGTACAACTTCGACAAATCCTGTTTATATGTGGCAGCTGGTGGTCTAGCTAATTCGGCTTGGACATGGAGATCCTTTAATGCAGCTAACGCCTCATATTCCTCTAGAAGCGCAGTTGCTTCTAAATGACTCCATGTTGAGACCAAATCTCGGATTATCCTACCATGGTCGCAGGCCTTTGAAGACCGACGTCTTCGAATAAATTTCTTTCGTAATGTCGCGAACCCCGTCATTTTCTTCTTCTTTTCCCTGAAAAAAAATAGACGACATTCGATTTTATCAATTTCTGTAATCGTTAATCCGGAATTAAAAATGCTCATTAAACTTGCTGCTAATAATACTGTCAGCTGAATCTTTAAAACAGTATCATTATCGTGTATAGATCTAGGCGATAAAGAACAATAAGCAAATGAGATAAGGAGACTCGATGGCAAATATTTAAATACCTGATAGCAATGCCATGTTGATCAGGTGGATTACCAGAGGATGAAAGTCTAGCTGCTTGAATCGAATCTCCACCTACACTGGTGATGCTTGACGATGCAGAAGCACCCATTCTATGTATCATGTAGGAAGCATCTCCACGCCGTCTTTTCACGAACCAGCAATCCCTTTTATCAGAATTATCAACCTCCTTTGGTCGTCTGCGTTGCAATACACACGGTGTCAAAATTCGGAATACATTCATTGCTCACCCAGACAACAGCCTGAAATCATTGTTCATCTTTTATACACATATCCTTTATGCTTCTATCGAGCAAATTTCAATATTTTTGAATTAAAGAATTTGAAAATTTGTTTTAAATGAATTTTTCTTTCTTAAAAATTAAATATATTTAAACATAAACATTACGTAATTTTTATATAATATTAATATGTTTCGTATAATGAAAATTTAATCTTTTATATGATTCTAATTATTTATAAATTAATTTAATTAAAGAATTTCCTTATCAATATTTAAGATTTAAATTTTAAAGATTTATCAATATTTATGTCAAAAAATATTTATCGAAGGAAAATTTCCATTAAAAATTTTTTTAAACGATTATTATTTTTAATAATTAAATTAATAATATAATATAATAAA